GAAGTTAAAGCAATATTCTGGAGTTCTAGCAATGAGTGGGCCAGAAACTAGCTGGACCTACAGCATACAACAAAGGTATGAACCCAGGATGTGCTTCCTCCTGAGGCACAAGATGCCTGCAGACCTCAAGAGAAAGCCAGGTATCAGTGAGGTGGGGAGGGAGACAAAGCAGGGACCGAGAAACAGATGGAAAGCATAGATATATTTTGGTGGTTGAAACAAATTCCACAGATCACGGCAGGGTAATCGAGAAGGGACATGGCATGGAAGGGTTAAGGTCAGCAGGGACAGGGCAGGAGACTGAACTGCAAAGGTGGGCACACACAGGCAACTAGCTTTGGTGACGATGAAGACGAGCATAAGGCAGGGAACAGAGGCGGCACCGTGTGGATGTGAGGAGAGACGTGGGTTTGAGATCTGCTTCCCTACTGCCTACCTGTGCGGTGTGTGGCTAAGACTGAGTCACCGAGTCAGCACACCTCACTTGAGGGTACTTAGGTAGCAAGTGACAGAAAACCCACTTTAAATTGGCTTAAACAAAAATAAGGATTACCTCCCATACCTGGAAATTCTGGAGAAAGGTAGGATGTTTTAGGGATTGTTTGACTCAGCAACCCAATGATGTCATCAAGGACCCAGTTTCTTTCTATTTCTCTCCTACTCCTTTTATGTTAGTGGCTTCATTCTAAGACTGGTTTCATCTCACGGTCACTATACGAATTACATATAAATATAAACATTGGTATTTCCTTTTATACATCCATACAGAAAGACTCCCTCTTGTTAGCATTCTCAAAGGTGTCTTTGCCGTAAGCCCAGCAAATCTCTCCTGGAGTCTCATTTGGGTTGAATTTGGTTAACATGTCCAATCCTGAACCCATTCCCGTGGTCTGAAAAATGCCATGTTCTGTCCACTGGCTGTGCCAAAAATTACCTGGACCATCATGTCCCATCCCCCCTTCAAAACAGAACAAAATGAGCCCCACGTTGGGTCTAGAGATCACTTTAAGGAATGAATGACTGAATGAATGAATTTAAAAAATATATCCCAAAAAAGGAGGGGGGCATTCAGCTTTTTATTGAACAGGTTACAGAAGAGTGTAGTCAAAAAGACCAAAGCCCACGTCATCAGCAGACTCTGCAGAGTCTTGCTCCCACTTTCTTCTCCAGGGGCAGAGGGGTGGGTCCCTCAGCCCCTGCACTGCTGTTGAGGCTCCTGATGTAGACTTTGGCCAGGACCTTTGCAAGCAAACTGGGCCAGAAAGGTTTAACACTGACCCCCCCTCAACACACACCCCACTTTAATGAAGGCATCGATCTTCTCCTCACTGTCAGCTTATCACTGTGCAGGATGTGCAGGCGGGCTCCGAGACGGAGGCCGTGGTGGGGGCAAGAGCTGCCGTGCTAGTCGGTGGATGAAGTGGCCTTAGCTTCTTTGGAAAGACGAGCATCTCAGTGCCTTGGCCTCATTTCTAATGATCACAGTAGACACACTTACCCAAATCTGTCCAGCCAAAACGGACTTTTTGTGCTTCATGATGGCCCCAGTGTGCTCTGCCTTTGTGCAGGCTTTTCCTTGGCCTTCACTGTTGCTCTCCTAGCTTTCCTGGCTGAGATCTCTCAGAAGCCAAGTTCAAATGCTGCTTCTTTTAATTTTTTTGCTTTTTTTTTTTTTTAAAGATTTTATTTATTTATTTGAGAGAGAGACAGTGAGAGAGAGCATGAGCAAGAAGGTCAGAGGGAGAAGCAGACTCCCCATGGAGCTGGGAGCCCGATGCGGGACTCGATTCTGGGACTCCGGGATCATGACCTGAGCCGAAGGCAGTCGTCCAACCAACTGAGCCACCCAGGCGTCCCTGCTTCTTCTTTTTTAAAAAATAAAGTTCTATTTCAGTAACCTGTACATCCAATGTGGGGCTCGAACTCATGACTTTGAGATCAAGAGTCAGATGCTCCCCCAACTGAGCCAGCCAGGTGCCCCTCAAATGCTTGTTCTGTTGTAGGCTCCACTGGTCTATCCAGGCTCATCCTCTCACTGATAAGGGGCAACCAGTGTTATCTACTAGCGGGCTTGTCTTATCCATTCTAGATTCTCAGGTTGAGGACAGTTTTCCTCCTCCTCCTCATTCTGTATTTGCTCATTTCAAAAATAACTGTGTCCACTGTGCATACAGAGGTGAAGAACAGCGTTCAGTAAGCACTAGCTGATCGCTTCTCGGCCTTTTGGCTAAGATCAAGTGCAGTAAGCACTAGCTGAGCTGGTGTACAAATGGGACTCGTGCTGGCTGGTGGGACGCTGGTTAGCGGTGGAAGCTCTACTGATGACTTGACGTTCTCTAGGTTGATCTTCTGTTTTCGGTGTAACTGTATTTGGCAAAACCCTTGCCTCCGTGGGCCATAAACTCATAGAAAGGCTGAGTTTCCACTGCTAAAGTGAAGGAAAGATCTGAGACAACTTAATGAGACATTTTATACATTGCTCAGGGGAAACAAAATCTCTCTTTGGAATTAGAGTCATTTTAGTTTCAATTCCAGAATCATACAAAGTACTGTCATCTGTATTATTATTATTATATATATTATATATATATATATAATATATATTATTATTATATTGGAGAAATAGCGAGAATCTTAAGCAGATTCCATGCTGAGTGCAGAGTCTGACGTGGGGCTTGATCTCACAACCCTGACAGCATGACCTGAGCTGAAACCAAAAGGTGGACGCTTCACCAACTGAGCCACCCAGGCGCCCCATCATATTATTGAACAGAGTCTTTCACAACTTTGTTTTGCCGTGACTCACAGTAAAAAAAAAAAAATGCCCTTTCCATCATGACCCAGGTCATATATACTCATTCATTCCTTCACTAAGCACGTACTGGTTCACTTTCCATATGCCAAATACTAGTCTAAGCAGAATACAGTCGTGAACAAAAAGGAAGGGGGGGAAGAAACACAAATCATGGCCTCAAAGACCTTATGTACTGGGACAACACACAACAAAGAAAGTAAGTAAAAGACAAACACACAAAAACAGAAAATTCATGAAACAAAACCCATTACAACATGCCATGTAACTCTCATGCTTCCTATTTAAAAAAAAAAAAACTTCTGGTCACACTCCATTAAACCATTAGGTTGGCTTCTCATTTCAGTAACGAGCTGAGGCGTGCACTTTGAGAAATACCGGTCTAGACAATTTATAAAACAGGCTGTGTGCCGCTCTTACTTTACAGGAGAGACAGACTGACACGCCAAGAGAGGCGAAATGAGTTACCCGCCATTCCCCTCCAGTCAGGGGGCAGCAACACCGAAGCTTCCCTTTGGGGCTTCTGACTAGTGCGCTGCTTTTCCCGTGGGCTCTGCAGTCCTCCCAACGGTCTTAGTCCCTCCTTCTCTTTGATTGTGAGACCATGACCTTTGCCTGGAGCAGCTCTTCCTGCCCTTCCAGGTGAAACACTACCAATACTTCCAGGCCCATCTAGACTGGGGAATGGTCTGGGGGCCTCTTCTGTGGCGTGCTGGACTCTGTCTTCCTTTGTCATTTTTGCTGTCCCACAACAGGCTCCTCTCCACTGTGACCTCCTTCAGAGCAGGTCTCCTCTTTCTCACCTTCCCTCGCCCCCCTCCATACTCCAGTGCTTTACAGAGTGCGTACGCACAAACACGTATGGAACTGACCTGAATTTGCAAGGAACTCACAGCAGAGGGGCGGGAGGAAGGGCTTCCGAGCCAGGACTGCAGGATTTAACAATATGTATTCAAAAGGCTAAGAGATTAGAAAAGACACCACTGGACAAAGACCTCTTTACCTAGGTCATAAACATCACGCATTAGGCAGAGGTTTCAATAGTATAAAAAGTATACAATCCCAATGGTTTATCTCCTCGGCATCAGAAGATAGATATAGAACCATGTGTTGCATAGAAGAGACACTGTCAAAATAATTCAAGAAAGTGAGGGCCACTGTAGAAGGCCCAAGGAAGCGCTGGAGGGACCTGAGGCAGGACAGGAGCCAGAGGCCCCTGGGGACCTCCTCAGCCCCAGGGAGTAAGGACACCTTTGCTGTGATGTGACTCTTACAATGGCAATGGCTGTCACCTCACCCAAATGCAGAAAATCAGTTCAAATTCTCAAGAGAAAGAATCTAAATGACACGGCCAAGTCTAGAATTCTCCACTCCTGCTTTAATTAGTTTGGGTTAACCTTGGGCTGTGCAGTTGGTGCAAATATCCAGGGAAGGAAGGAAAGAAACTCTTTGAAAAGGGAGATGAACTTCAATTAAATATTGGCCCAAACTGGAATTTTAAGTTTAAATTTTATCCTACCACCAGAGATGATGGGGACTCAAGGCTAATATGAGGTCAATTACAACTAGTTATATAAAGTACTATATCTGTGACATAGTATAAAATATAATTTCAACCTTTTTAAAGGTCAAAAAATGTAGATTTTAGCTAATTTTAGCTAAGTTTTAGAACAAAGAAATCTATGAGTTTATATATCTGTGAGATAGATACACAGAGAGATATAAGGAAAATTGAATTCCTTACCCAGGTTTTTCAGACTTTGTTTTGAATTAGAGATTCTAATTCTCTAGGACTGGGGTAAGGTAGGAGGGACTGCATACTTAAATAAGCACTCCAGATTCTGTGTCATATTGAGAAACTTGCTTAACCTAACTCCTTAAAGTAATTAAAAAGGGGCTCAATTTGTATATATATATTTTTTAAAGATTTTATTTATTTGACAGACAAAGATCACAAGTAGGCAGAGAGAGAGAGAGAGACAGAGAAGCAGGCTCCCCGCTGAGCAGAGAGCCTGATGCGGGGCTCGATCCCAGGACCCCGAGACCACGACCTGGGCTGAAGGCAGAGGCTTTAACCCACTGAGCCACCCAGGTGCCCCACATCTGTTTTTAATTAGAACAAAAATGGACAATAAAATGTGGGCACACCATACATGTACTAACACTAAATAATAAGAGGACGTACAAATTTTTAAATCACATTTCTTATCATTGTTTTTAATCACATTTAGTCACATAATTTATAGTAGCATAGGTTTATAAAAGATGTTTAAGACTGGTTGGTAACTTACTCTTAGATTTTCTTTGAAAATGGAGAATAAAGGAGTTAGTCATGAGTTAAAGAATATTTAAGAATGACAAGTTGACTATAAACACAAAAGGTACACTGATAGCAATTCTATAAACAGCAAATATGAATGTAAATCATTTAAGCCTACTGGTTCACATTTTTAAAAGCACCCTCATTTCTTTAAAGTTAAGTACTATTCATGAAAGTCTACTGCGGACAATGATATATTCAATCCACCTAGTTGGGGGATGGGGGGTGAATTTATGTGACCATCCAATTCAGAGTCTGATTTGGGTTAAAAAATCAAACTGTGTTCCAAAACAGTCACAAGTAGCATCATCAGTTCCTTAGATAATACAGCTTCCAAAACTCTCATCCTCCTGGTGACCCTCCTTTTCTGCTTCGACATACACATGCCTTTCTTTTAAAGAAGCAAAAAAGTATAGAAGTTCACCAAAATTCTGAAAGTCACAGTTCGTATAGCACTAAATGATAGTAGCTTTGGCATCTGATATTATAGTCACTTTTGACAAATCTTTTCTTCATTCTGGGTCAAGGCGAGGTAAGACAGGAAGAATGAGGTTCCCAAAGGCAGAGTCTTGAGTTATGAAGTATCCAGATGAGTGTGCGTGTGCATGCTAGGGAAGAGTTACCAAAGAAAAGAAAAAAAAAGGCAGTTAAACTATTAGAAATCACAATTTTCTAAGCAAGGCATTAAAACTACTTGTCCTTTCTGACTGTTTAAGACCAAATTTATTTTAAAAATCAGTTCTGCCACTGCTAATTTTGTTTAAATACACAGGAGATGGACAGTAATAAAGAATTTCTATTAACAAGCTGCACCAGGCACTCATTTATCAGACCACTCTGTCCCCTGTGATTCTCTAAAGTCAATAATGAGTTAAAGACATGAATTACTTTGTTCCTTGGAGTGGGGAAAACTTGCAACAAAGATCCCCCCAATTTGCCTTTGATCAACAAAATAGGAGCTTGAGAAAGAGAGGAGGGTGGGCAAGAGAGCTGATTACTGGTGATTAAGATCCCAACATTTTGTAGAGAATGTTGAAATGTAAGTAACAGAAGACCACCAGGACCTCCCTCTGTCACTAGAGAAAGAAAAACTGTTTTTAGGTTGCCTTAAGTGAGATGATCTTTTGTCTCTTCCAATTCTGAGGCTCTAAGGTTTAAAAGCATAGGTAATGATGGCTTGTTCAAGCTCTCTGGGAACGTTAGTCAAACTATCCAAGATCACTGTAATACTAAAACTGTTTACTCCTATGAAGAACAGTATTTTTTTTTAAACTGATAGATGATCACATTCCTATGGTAAGAGTTAGGCTTTAAGCACTTCCTGAGTAACAGGTATGCTGACCATTAACAAGAGAATCCAAACAATAACAAACTGGTAAGATTATCCAGGGGTGTAATAGCAAGACAAATTTGAAAAAAAAAAAAAAAAAAAAAAAAAAAAAAATATGTACTATTAAACTATCCAGTTCAGCTTTAAGATCATTCTGTCCATCCAAATATCCTAACTGTAGGCAAGCACCCCTTGCCAGGTACAGCACCGAATCAATCATGACCATGTCAGAACCATAAAAGATACTTCCATAACTGCTGTATTGGTCCTTCAAATCCTTTGGGCATGACTGATCATCAGAAAACCACTGCAGTGATGTGTGGAACGTTTTTATTGATGTCGCTCCACCAAAATACAAAATAGGAACTGTGCTGGCTTCCAAGACCCAGGAATTCCCAATGAGACATGAATGTCAGTCACCCTTTGCTCACCTGCAGAGCTGCCTTTTGCTGGGCTGCGATATGCTGCTGCTCGGCGTGGTCCCGGAAGTCCTTATTAAGAGAGGGTCTCGAGAGTGCGATGCTAAAAATGGGAATCTTAGTTATCTGCCGTTTAAGTACTTCCTACTTCTGAATCACATTTTTCATTATACATTCTTTATAGCGATTAAAAAAAAAAAGGCCTTCCGGAATAAGTCTTTTTTTTTCCCTTCTCCCACTGTTTATATTAATTTATATGAAGAAAGCCCATTATTTACTGGAGCTTCAAATTACCTCTATTTTTGGTTATTCTTTGGGATGATCTAAGGTCCCCTACTTTCAAACTGCTTTGAGGTACTCCAGTCTATCACAGGTTACATTTATGATGAAGAGGGAAGACTGTGAAGCAGAAGGTACAAGCATGCGAAAAGCCCAGGCCGAAGACCTTGGCGTGTCTGAAGAAATGAACGGCTCCACAGGACTGGAGGTCAGGGTTGAAAAGGGGTGAAGTGGGTTGGCAGAAAATGACACAGGAGAGAAAGGCAGGTGCCAGGGTATCAAAAGGCTTGTGAAATAAATTAAGAAATGTAGACCTTATCCTCACAGTGAAGAGAGGCTACCAGAGAGTTTAATACAGAGGAGTGACATGATCACAAGTACCGCACAACGACTCCGAAAGACCACTGCTAAGCAGACTGTGCTGGTCACCTCCTCAACAGCTGTTGGTCTCCCTATCTCCTTACTAATGGAATCCAAACTTCCTTCAGTTACTGGTGGTCCCATGCTTCAGGGCTGGCCTGGATGAGTTTGCTCATCCCTCAGGGAATGAACTCTGACGGGTGTAAGACAATGCCATTCTCCTTGTTGGTTTCTGGTTTAGGCAAGGGAAAGAGATACACAATTCTGGGCAACAAGACTTGATGGGCAGTCTGCAGGAAGGCTTCTGAGATTCTTACAAAAGGAATGTAGGACAGGCATCTTTCTGGCTTTGGCCTCTATAGGTGGCTCAGCATAACGTGAAGCTGAGACTATAGCAGTCATATCTGGACCATTAGGGAGCTACTGGCCCACAGAGAAAGGCAGAAAGGAAGGCTGGGGAGAGGCTGGAGCATGGGTCACACTGTCAGCCACTGTACGAAGCCGATCTGGAACCCCTAGCTCTTCACGCTCCTGCGAAACATACATCCTCATGTGTATGCTGACTTTCTTGGTTCCTGTTACTTCCAGATTAAAACATTCTGACACAACTGATAAATATATTCAGGAGGATTGAAGATGACGGGAAACTCAGGGAGGAAGCAGCCATCGCCATGGAGGCAAGAAATGAGAGGGGCCAGGACGAGGGTGGCATTAGTAGCCATGAAGAAAAACAGGCAGATCTGAGACATGTTTCAAACTATTCACATAAGAGAATGGCAACTGCTTGGAGATGGACACGAAAGGGAATAATAAATGAAGTCCACACTTCTGACGCTGAGAACTAGTAGATCAGTGCCACTCGCCAAGACAAGAAACCCAAGAACAATAAGTGGTTACGGAGAGCACAGGAAGGGAAGAGGAGTTCAGCCTGGGACACACGAAGTTGGGAATGCCCAAGGGACATCGGGGTGGAGCTACCCAAGAGGCAGTTTGGGAGTCGGGAGAAAAGACTAGACAAAAGTTATCAGCACATAAATAACAGGGTGTGCAAGTGGAGGCACCTGCCCAGTTAAAAGCTCTGCGGAGACAGGAAACTGGCTGTAGGACCGAACTCAGGGGCATGGACATTCATGAGACAGGCAGGGGAGACATGTTTGCAAAAGAAACCAAGACCATGTGACACTGAGCCAGTGGAAGCTGAGGAAATGAAGTATTTTAAGAAGGACGGAGTGACCAGTGGTGTCAACGCTAATCTAAAAAGAGAAGGCCCTCATTCTACCAGATTTAGGTACCATGAGCTTGCAAGTGACTGAGGTGGGCACCTATTCTTAGGAAGGGAGAGAGGGGCTCTCAAGTCAGAATGGAGTATGCTGTGGAGTCAGTAAGTGAGAAAGTAAAGATAAGGACAGACAGCACTTCCAGGAGGTCTGGCTGAAAAAGAGGGGCAAGGCAAGGGCAGTGGCTAACTGCGATGGAAGAAGGCAGAAACTGAACTCAATAAAGATGAAGCCACCTATATTTTACCTGCTTTGCAGACTGCTTAAAAAGTGGGATACTGACAATTTCAGCAACAAACAAAAACCATACAAAACCTTTTCTTTTTTAAAAAGTACTCTGGGGACCATAAGTATTCCAGTTAGAAATGAAATAGTTACGATCTAACCAATTTGTCTAATTTTTTCAAATCTAAGAAACAAGCATAACATGTAAATTCCAATGTTACAAAGACAAACATGTGCCAACCAACTTGAAGTATTTTGTCCAAGATCTTTTTGATATCACTGAATATAAAAAACACATTCTTCTTCAATACCTCGCCCCAGGATGATTAGTTGACGATTGGTTTTGCATTAGTAATTTTCTCTTCTCTTTGTCCAGTTCTGCCAAGATTGCAACTCTGTTTTTGTTTTGAAAACCTAAAAAAGGGTGGGGGAGGAGAGAGAGAGAGAAAAACATTTTAGAGCTATTTTTATAAACCCAGGCTGTCTAAAAACGCAGCAAGCAAATTCTATTCTCTAACAAGATATGAACCCACTCGTGAGTAGCTCCCCTAGATGGTTACACCGTTTTCCTACTGCTTCCCAGCGACTTTACCAGCACAGAACTGTAACCACCAAAGTTTTCAGGAGGAAAACAGCAACAGACATGCTCAGATCCAAACAATATTTCTTTTTCTCAATTGCTTTCATTCAGAAATGACACAGTCTTTCAAGGAACAAGTCAAAGAAGTGCAAGTGACTACATAGGAGTTCTGAGAAAGAAATGGAGCATAACAGATGGGACACAAAAATGTGTATTCTTTATCAAGTACTTAATACTGGGCTTGATTTTGATCTTCAAATTTCATAAGGTCTAGAGCAGAGGGTGCAAAGTCCTGGCCCAGGAGCAGCAACCAACTAGGTTTTAAAATCTGAATTAGGGGCACCTGGGTGGCTCAGCTGGTTAAGCATCCTCTCGACTGGAGCTCAGGTCATGATCTCAGGGTCAGGAGACTGAGCCCAACATGTTTGGCATCACGCTCAGTGGGGAGTTTGCTTGAGATTCTCTCCCTCCGCCCCCTGCCATGTGCTCTCTCTAACATTAATTAACTAAATAAAATCTGAATTAAATGCCAACATGTAAACATTGAAAGAATGTCAATAAAATCCTCAGATTTCTTGCTTCTCTTGAAACATCTCAAGCACCAGCAACAAGGGATCTGGATACCCCCATGGTAAAAATTAACCAGATCAAAGAAATAATCATCACTATTTTATCACATTAAAAAGACACCGGGCACTCTCTACCTTATTACAGTCCTTATGAGATTTGTATATATGCCTGTGGGCATTTGAGTTTGATCCCTAATTTAGAAGAAAACAAATGGAAAGATAAAAGGCTGGGAAATAAACCCAAAGTGAGTTCTCTGTAAAGTGAAGAATGTTTTCCAAGGGAAAGCAGCACTCTCCCATTTGTATATGTGAAGATGCGTGTATATAAAGCAAGTTACACCACTAGGTATGTTCCTAACTATAGGACAAGACTTTTTTCCACTTCTCAGAAGAGGCTAATGTGTTCTTAGAAGATAATTATGTAGTTCCATCTTTGTAGGAATTTAGAGGTACTGTAGATTTGAAATCTGATAGTGTCTAAATTATGTGATGAGCAAAATACATAACCACACTCAAAAATACTGATGTGCTGTTTACAGAAATAAGCATTTCTCTCAAGATTAATTTGTTCGCAAATAATATTTTAGGGTCACTATCAGTAAAAAAAAAATGTATATACATAGAAATTGTACGTACAAATCATTCAAAAGACTACATGAAGATAATCTGATCAATAATGTTCAGACGAATACAAGCACAACTGAGCTTTTCAATGTGTTGAAGCTTTCTTACTTTTTTTTTTTTAAATGTCTATCCTCTGTGAAAAGGAACTTTGTAGGGAAAGTACTAGTTGCATGTTTTAGTGCAAGAAAAAAAAAAAGGAAAAGAAAAGAAAACAAATGTGCCTGGAACATCTTGTCAGAAAGCATGGAGGGTTTTTGTTTTTGTTTTTTTTTAAATATCCAGGGTAGTGCTGAAAGAACGAAGAAGTCCGGCACCTGAGTGGCTCAGTCGGTTAAGCGTCTGCCTTCAGCTCAGGTCCATGATCTCGGGGTCCTGGGATCAAGTCCGATATTGGGCTCCCCGTTTAGTGGGGAGTCTGTTTTTCCCTCTCCCTCTGCCATTCCCCCCATTCATGCCCTCTCCCTCCCTATCAATCAATAAATAAAATGCTTAAAAAAAAAAAGAATAAAGAAGTGAATCTGAGGTTAGCCAGGATGTCACAATTGGAACATTAAAAAGAGAATAATAATTATAGCTCAATGGAACAAATTGAGTCAATGATAAGCCATGACTCCATAATAAGATACAAAAGGGAAAGTTAAAACATAAAAATATAGTTGTAAAGAAGGGTGAAAATAATAATGATTATCATTAATAATTAGGTCAGCTGTAATAATTACAATTAATAATTAGGTTAGTGTTAACATTTAGGGATTTACTTCTCCTGTTAAGTGTATGTCTGTTTATAAAGTACAGCTGTATACTTTTTTGTTTGGGTACACGGAGGAAGGGGTAGATACAGGAAACTGGGGCTAAGCCAAACACTTCCAGAAAAGGCAGGTGTGGGACCAAGAATGAGAGAGGTGGATTCAGCACAGGTTCTCACACACATGCACTCGCACACACACACCATTTAAAAGGAGCCCCAGTGGTGATGAGCAGCCATGTCACACAAAGACCAAGCAGAGACTGTGAGTTCTAACTGGATGAGTTAGTGAAATTCCCAAAGAGAGCTAACTGTAAGACCTAATGCTCCCTGACCTCTTGGGAGATGAAATGCATTAAATCTTGGCAGTAAAGCTACCAGAAAAGGGCAATTCATAATGAAAACAGAACACAGAAGTATTTCATTTAGGGGCTAACTCCAGGTTGTGAGAAACTAAAAATCTATGAGGTAGGCATGAGCTTAAAGAAATCCCATTAACTCAGCAGGTCAAGTTTAATGATAGAAGGGACCCAATGCACACCAGCACAGCTTTTAAATCATCTTTAAAGGCATAGCCAAATCTTGTGTTTTGGCTGAGAATCAAACTTATCAAAAAACACTAAATCTTGACTTACCTGAAATTTTGTTTTGTTTTGGTAGTGGTAAGATTACTGTAACCCTAGGAAGGTATAGAAAGATTACTATAATCCTGGGAAAGTACAAAAATAAGAATCTGGGAAGATTATTATAACCCCAGAAGACATAAAAAACAAGTACAGAAAGAGTAATTAATTAATTAAGCCTATGGATTAATATTTTTAAATAGATTTAAGTGTACTAATTTTGCAATCATTACAAAGTATTACATAATCATTAATTATAATTCTAATTTAAACTGTTACAGAGAATTTAACAAAATAAGCTTATAATCAATTCTAAATGTTTAAAAATTTTTATTTTAGAAGTTACTTTATTAGATGAGTATAGGTTTAATATACCAGTAATTAAATTATGAGCAGTGATGAGTATTTTTCTCCATACATGAGATTCCCTTGGACTTTAAAGAACTCATTGAAGTATTTAAACAAGGGGTCACCGGAGTGGACTAGCCCATAGCCTTGCCTCCCTGGTAAAGATGGGATGACGCCTATCTCTGTATCTCACTTATTGCCCCATACTCCCACCTAGAAACCCAAGTTTTATCCTTATAGCCCCTCCCCCTTACTACCCACATCTACCCAATCACCGAGTCATATGAATTTCATGTCCTGAATGTCTCAAAAATAACCTCCCTTCTCAACTCCTTTTCCTCAGTCTAACCACACAAAATTATCTTTTGCATAATATTCCAGACCTTAAATGTATATCTACAGACAGCTGAGAGCCACAAAAACTACTTTACAGAGAAAGGGTATGGTCAGGTCTTCTGGGCGTTTATTTTCTGATCTTGTCTAATGCTCCTGAAATCTATGCTTCCCTCTTGATTTTTTAAAAAATACATTATTTTACATGTCTGTTTTGCACAAAACGTTTACATTATAAAAGTATATAAAAGTCAACAGATAGCACTTAGGAAATAATAATAGCTTTCGAATTTGAAACTTAAGGCACAAACTAGATAATCTATCTGGTTATACGAAGCGTAACATTCTACAGTAAGATTCTCCCACCTTCAGGGTTTATACAAACGAACTCTAGGACATCAATACATAACATTTAATTTTTTTCTATTACACTCACTACACAAGTTTTTTCTTTTTTTAAATCTCTCTTGCCATAATTTAACATTTGACTTTTACATTCTTTTACATATATCATAGCTACACATCTTTTACATTCTCAGAAGCATGAGGGTGTTAAAGATATATCTCACGTACAGTACTTAATATTCCTTTATAGTTAACCTTTTTCCTAATAAGATTATCTTAGAATAAAGCAGCACACTCTAAAATACTTCTACTTTTAGAATTGTAATCCTATCTCCATTCACAATCATATATATTTTCGTTTCTTCATCCATTCATAGAAACATGTAACTCCCACACATTTTTTTGTCACTAAAAAGATTCCTGAGGAACTGGCATCACATCAAATTGCATTTAAAACCTAACAGCTGAAAATCACTTTACATGAATAGCTCTACCACACTTAAATAAGCACTAACTGGAATTCTTTTTATTGGAAAAAAATCTAAAGCTAAAGAATGAAAATTGTTCTAAAATATTATTCAAATCCTTTCAAGTGGTTATCCTACAGGCTATATATTCGTCACAACTGTAGATTAATTCAACGTGTCATACTTAAGATACCTGTTTAGTATTAAAGAAAAGTCACTGTGACACTATTAGTTTAACATGTTTTAAGTTATTTACTGAATCAACATATATTTATTGTGTATTCATCATATACAGGCACTAGATAGGTTCTGAGGATACACATGATGAGCCAAAGTTGGACATGATTCTAGCTCTCCTGGTTCTCAAACAGTCCAGTGAGGATAGAGATGATCAAATAATTACTGCAATGAATGTATACTTAGAGTCTAAGATGAGTGGTCTGAAATAAAGAAAGAAAATTCTATAAGCACTTATAACAATCCACTACTGTGGGAATCAACGTTGAATAAATCTGACCTAGTCTGGGAGTAGGGGGAGCAGTGAAGGCTTCCAGAGAAAGTAATGCCTGAACTGAAATCACAAGGACAAATAAATAAGTTCATTGGGGCAGGGAAATAACACTTTCCCCTATCACAAGAGCACTGTAGCTACAGTGTTGAGAACACGCTAGACAAGAGGAAACAGGAGACTATGATAGTAAGAACAACCTAGAGACGACAAAAGTTGTTACCCGCCAGGGAAATGGAAAGATAGGAACAGATCCAAGAGCTATTCAGGAA